TTTTTTTTTAATATTACAGGCAATAATGACTGGACAAGGGCGCCACAAATCGGCTGGGGCAATTTCAATCATTTTCAAGGCAGTGACTATTCATCAACTCATACGAGTCATAACAATCCTGCACACACGATTAGCACCCAGGGGGTACAAAATCCAGTTAGCACTGCCGAGTGGGCTTACGATCAAGGATATGACTACAGTCATCAACATGCGCAGCTTAATTATCATCGGAATGTCGGGGGGATATTTTAGTCAGTCAATTTAGAGAGCTTCTTGTACATTGAGATAGGATTAAGATAATTGCTTTAATAAATCGTACGTGTAAATTAATTTTTCGTCATATCTCTGAATATTTCACTCGTATCTTTTTATTATGTTAACATAATTTTATGTAATTTAGGCAGTCAATCTGCACAGCGCAGAACAATTTTTTTCCTCATTTGTTTATGTTACTGCAAATTGAAAAAAAAAATATTTCCTCGTGTCTGTAAAAATTTCTCGTTTTGGAATTGGACTTTTTTCGAATTGAAAAGTTTTAAAATTATTATGGAGAATACAGTATTTTCGAGGGGTTTGCATTATTTAATGTTGATGAAGGTTCAAAGACCTTCAGTAGGTAACACTTGGAGATGTTCTGGGTGGAGAAGCCCTTGGGAAGAGGTAAGTTATCGACAGCTGCGAATGAGAACCTGCGAAAGAATGAAAAACCTTGAATAATTATTTTCATTGTTGATAGTTCTATCCGAAGCAGTTGATGAAATTATTTTTTCAACTTTTCTCGAAAATATTTCCTCATCGATCTCTTATAAATTTCTCGTTTGTAAAATAATTACTAAAAAACAAGTTTGAAAAAATTTTTGAATGACCGGTGATAGTGACAGAAATTGACATAAAATTTCTGGTCATTTATAATGATAGGAAATTTCTCGAGATGCAAAAATGATCGAAAATCTTGCATAATATTTCAATGAATTTCGGGTATTGCGCAATAAAAGAATGCAGCGTTTGAATTCGAATTATTCGGATTGATCCAAGAGGTGCTCTCATAAAGCATATTTACTCTCTTATCTTCTTTCGTAATTACAAATATTAATTATGATATTGCGTGTCGTCACCAGTTTACCTAGTGCACTCACGAGTGTTCCGATGGATTTTTATCGGTTCAAATTCGATATATAAAGCTGAATTGACAGGATGAGGAACACATTCTGATTTGAGATAGTTCGATTCAGTTTCAGAAAAGTTCCAGACGATTCAATCATGAGAAACTTTATAGCATTCCTCACACTCTTTGTAAGTTTTCATTCCATTA